ATGCTGCTGGAGATTTAACATGTGCATTGTTTTAGAACAATGCTCTCCTCTTCTCACACATTGTAGTGAAATATCACACCCAAGCTGCTTTGATTTACTGCATAATTGGGTCAAGAGCCAATTTATCCTAATCTGAAAGACAGTATCTTCAAACCATGGCCCTACAGACCTGTAATTTGCATCACTCCTTGGTTTCTCACCTCCTTCCCTTTGTCCTGCTGTTACTTCTCCATGCCTGGGGAGGGTGCTGTCACCCCCAGTGTTTGGATTACAAGCCTCCGTTTGAGCCCCGACAGCCACTGGTCTTCTGTAAAGAGTATAGCAAGTTTGGATGCTGCGATCTGGAAAAAGATGGAGAAATATCAGCCAAGTTTTACACCATCATGGAAAACTTTGACCATTCAGGTTATGAAGCCTGTGGCAGGTACATACGCAGCATCCTCTGCCAGGTAAGCAAAACATGTAAACAATCATATCATTATTAATATGTTTGATAATGTGTCCAAAGGATTATTTTGGTATGATTTGAATTATGTTGTAATTGATTTAATTTGTGACATAAACTATACTTCTTTACTGTAAACACACACCTGTCACATGCTAAAGTCATTACCGAAGTAAAACCCACATTAATCTTTCCACCATGGGTTAGTGTAGCTACTGACTTTAATATACACGTTTTTGTGATACTAAATCATTATATCCTGCATGTAAGGATTACATTTGTCTGACTGAGGATGTTTGCTGTCCCTACTTTGAAACCTGGATTTAGTGTCCAAGGTATTGCACCAAGATGTCTTAAAGAAACAGTGTGCATATTTTTAGTCGTTTATTTAAAGCATTTTCCTCTGGTTTAGTTTCTCAGGTAATAATATTGCCACTCATATTTAAAATGGGAACCAAAGAGCCACCAAGCTTGTCTCAAACACAAGGTTCTGTCTCACTCCAAAGGATATTGTGGTGTGGTTAACATCTGTTGGAAAGCACTTACTCATGCTTAGAGAGTTAAACCACATTCTTAACTATTGGTTATGTGTTCTTGGGTGAACCTAAACAAGTCAAATAAAGCTGTGCAATAAACTTTTAAACTTCATTTGAGATAAAGACCATAAACTCACCATGTGATAAGAACATAACTAAATCCAAATGGAAACCTTTGAGGCAGAACCTCAATTGAACTTTGGACACATTGGCACAGATGTTCAAATGTTGACTGGACTCACTGGTTTTCTCATGTGTGCATCATACTGTATGCAGTAAATCCTCAAAGAGAGTATGCTGACCAATTCCCAGTCTTTTTTTAGTGTCTTCTCTTACACAAGATGGACTAAATCAGAATGACTTCATGGAAAAAGTTGTACCACCAATTAAACGCCACATTTACTCAACCTTTTTTTACTCCACAAAATTCCCTTGAAGATCCTCACAAACTGGAATAACCTTAGCTGTCTTGAATTGTGGAGGGGAACCTGAATCAACCTTAATTATATAAACATCTTCATGATTGGTGGATGAAAACAAAATAAAACTTTACATTTCTTTATAAATTTACATTGATTGCATTACTTTTCCATTTAAAGCAATGACACTGCATAAGCTCAACAAGACATTTTCAGACTTAATGTTATTGTGATAATGGTGTTAAACTGCAGTAGAAGTAGACAGTATACTCTAACTTCCAACGAGGAGGACGAAGGCATATGTTAAGATCACTTTGTTTTTAATTATTTTCTGAGCTTGCTAATCTTAAACAACTTCCTCCTCTCTTTCACTGGCAGACTGAGCCTTGAAGCCAGTCCCACACTGATTGCATAATTACAGTAGGTGCTGACTTTGCAGCACAGACTCTAACTTTGTGCAGATGGTGAGTGCAAATTGAATGATAGCTGCAACACAAATCTGTCTCGGCTCATTAACCTCTTCTTTAAATCCTTATTAGGAGAAAGCCAAAGAAAACGGTCTGTGGGCTCTCCCAAAAATAAAACCTTTATATTAAGGCCAAAACAAAAGAAAAAAAAAAACTTCCTGGAAGTTTAATTCATCATGCACTATGTTAAGACAGTGACAAATCCTCTGACTCTTAAAATATAGGTTTCTACCATTCTGGTAATTATAGCCCAGTGTGGTTCTTTCCAAGCAGGGTAAACGTTCTAAAGACAGCGCTGCAATGCACGTACAACTTTCAACAAGACATATAGTAGCAGTGAGATGTAAGTCTGTATATAGAGTCCTTAACAAAGTAAATATGAACATCTGAGACAGGGGTTACAAACAACATTACACACAGACCTACTTTTAGAAAGCACAAATTATACGGTTACTTAGCATTAGAATTCATTTATAAAATTCTTAAAGAAGCACAATTATTATAATAGAAAACAAAAGTGTTTTGGTTACAAACTTTTTCTGTTTTTTTATTATTTCAGTCTTTTGACGTGGTTATTCAATTAAAGTGGATAATAGCACCAAACTGGGCGTTTGTTAAGTCTTTAAATTATGAATATTTGTATTGTCTTTAACTCTTTTCTAAAAAATAAATCTACTTAAGAGCCTGACTCAGACACACTCTGTGGTTTTCAGCTCCAAGGGTTGCAGTTTGAGGTAAAAGATTCCCTGGAGGTGCTGAGATTGCCTCTCTGCCAGGGTACTCAGAGTAAACCCACCACACTGAGGCCCTCTGTTCTCCATGCACTGCAGGAGCATCCTAGCACTGATACCAATAAGACAGTAGAGAGAGAGAGAGAGAGAGAGACACACACAGGCTGATAGACAGGTTTGTGTGTGTGTGTGTGTGTGTGTGTGTGTGTATGTATGTGTGTATGTGTGTGTGTGTGTGTGTGTGTGTGTGTGTGTGTGTGTGTGTGTGTGTGTGTGTGTGTGTGTGTGTGTGTGTGTGTGTGTGTGTGTGTGTGTGTGTGTGTGTATGTGTATGTGTATGTGTATATGTATATGTGTTGTTTTTGTGGGAGACAGGAGGGAGATTGTCATCTTCCCCCAGCTGAAACAAACAATCATTTCCTCCTCCGGCCCGGGGTACAGGATATATCAAATTCCTGCAAGAGAGAGAAGGGATGGAAAAGAAAAAAGAGTGAGAGAGATTAAATCAGTCAAAATAGATCGGTAAACTCTTTGAAAACAGGAAGACAGAAGTTGAAAAGTTCAATTATTTAGAGCAACTGTTTTAGAATAATGTGTTTTTGTGTCTGTGTCTGGTCATTCAATAATTGAATTGAAAAGCCATTTCAAGCATTTAGTGAGCACTTAGCATAACAAGACAACACTGAATTAATTGTTTCCCCAGTTGCATTTTTAATAAGCAGTGTTTCTGCATCTTTTAGACTCTTGTCTCCAATGACAGCTGAAGAAAACTGCAGATGTTCAAGTTTCCAAACAGCATGTGAGAGCCCCATACCACAACAAATCCCCAACACACAGAAATGCAGTATCCATAGTAACTGACCCCAACTATAATTTAATCTACTTGAACCGGGTCATTTTTGTAGGAAAGTTGAGGCACAAGTACCTCTCTTCCATTTGTTTTCCATCTCCCTTTTCTTTGAACCTTACTTTCTCTATGGGGGTCCATGTTCACACATTTACTGGCCATCTGTTTGCCATGACTCCTCTCTCTGTCTCTCAAACCACAATTTGGACATTAAAGTCGACCTATCATGCTGTATTTGAAACATATATTGTAGGGCCATACCTATTTAAAACATGTCTGTGAAGTTTTTTTTTCAAAATACCAAACAGATCATGCATTTTAGCCATGCCTCATTTCGCTCTATTTGCTCTTTTCCAGCCCTGTTTTTGCAAGGGCTGATTCTGCTTTTGTGGCAGACTACAGCGCCACTTACAGGCCTGGCATATGTACTACAGCGTCTCCAGCGCTTTCGAACGGTCTCTCATTCCCCTGATAGGTGGAGAGTTGCCCATATAGGCGGAGCACCCCTTTTCTGACGTCAGAAAAATTCAAATAATAATCAGCTCCGTTGCAGCCCCGTTTTTAGAGATTTGGGTATGGAGGAAAAGAGAGAGGGTTGTGTTTTCTGACACTTGGTGAGTTCCCTGACACACCGGGGACACATATTCATGTATAAAAGACGTACAAAAGTGCATTTTGCATGATAGGTCCCCTTTAAAGTGCTGTATGGAGTCAGTAAGGCAAGAAGACAAAATAAAGGCTTTTATTTCCAGCTTAAGTCTGAAATTCAGTTTATTCTTAACTGTACAGCGTAAACAACAAATGATGGTAGTTTGAAGAGGCTGCATTGTTAGGGAACAGCTGTTAACACTTACATAGATGCATTTATCCTACCCTATGATAGTAGGATACAAAATAAGACTCAGAACAAAGGCTGTCTGTTTAATTTCAGAGGGTCAAACAGGCGAAGTACAGACACTGCAGAGCAATGTGACCAGTGCCTTCTTGTTTCCCAGGAAGGCTCTGATCTCTGCCCAGCAAAGCGCTTTTATGTTATTTAACAAAGAGTCTCTGTTACAGCTAACTTCTCTTCATCTCTTCTTTGGCCAATAATGAAAATCTAATCATTTGTATACCTTTTTTTTTATTTGAGGGGTTCTATGCCATAATCGTAAGGGTTAGGGTGAGGGGCACCAAGAACATTTCTGAAAATTAGACTAATGTAAGACTACTAAAATAAATGAATTATCTCAAAAAGTATAAGTAAGTATAGAGAAATAACACATTTTTAATTTTTTTATGTAATCGTTTGGCAGGGACAATGCACAGTAAGGAACACTTAAAACATTTAAATGTGTCAAGCGTAACAGTGCCAGATTTAGCTTTGAGCTCATTTCCATCCGCAGTCCCTCACATAAAGCATTTAAGAAGTTTACATTTTACAAACATACAGTAGCAAAAACAAAATACATGATATGCAAAAGGTGCAAAAGAGCAAGAGCAGCACACACAAGTATTTATGACATGGTAATACAATATAGCAGATACGACATATAAAGTGCAAGAGAAGATACAAGAGCTACCTAAAGTGCAAGAGGAGATACCCCTGTATTAAAGTGCATTTAGCGGTGATTGCACATCTGTTTGTTTCTCAACCATTCTTTAAGTTGACCTTTGAAGCTATTGAGAGTGGGACAATCCCGTATCTCAGTTGGGAGGCTATTCCACAATGAGCTGCCTTTAATGGAAAGTACATTTTGTCCAAAAGTGGTCCGTCTGCGGTGGACTGCACAGTCTCCTCTGGTTTCTGACCTAGTGCAGCGTCCAGTGTGTTTTTTGCATAACAAACCTTGAGGCACATAGATGGCATGAACGCCACATCTTCTTCCCTGTCAGCCTTTCTATTATATTCATTATTCATAAAATGTCATAGTTAATGGGGAAACTTGACATGCACAAAAAAATAAAAGTGTACATTATTTATAAGCAGAAGATCCAGGTAGAAGCACACACCCACATGCACTGTTAAGAGACAGAGTTTGTCTGTGTAGGTGTATGAATAACGTGTTTGCTTCTTGTGTGTATGCTTTATTGTTTTCATGACTGCACTGTGTGATCTCGGAAGTTAGTTAATACCGGTTAATACATATTCACAAGATTTCTCAGATGAATTTGCATCTAATTACAATATTAGCATGTGGTTACAACTACAAAATAAAGAAGACAATATTTATTTGTTGTCTACATTATCTTTAAAGTGCTCTGAAAACTGAAGCAATCTCGGAAAACTGCTGAATCTTTACTTACCTAAAAGTAAGACACAGCAGCAACTTTTTTGTTCAAGTCTTACAAGTGCTGCTAATAAGAGTATGTCTAAGACCTTCTGATGTGTGCTGAATTATTTACTGTAAACGTTTTGCATTCCCCAGACCAGTTACTTTTTGATACCTAAAAGCCAAATGTATTTGTAAAATAAACTCATCCTTGGGCATTACGCAAACAAAACATGACAGTATTCAAAAGCCTAGGACCGTTTCACCATCAAGTTGTAACCTCTTGTCAACAATGTTATCCTGTCAGTTTGTCAGCATGATTACGGAAAAAAAACGCCTGGCCTGATTTTTAGGAATCTTGGTGGAAAGGTGAAGCATTAGACAAGGAATAAACGTGTTACATTGTGGGGTGTTTCCCAATCATGGTACAAAAACAATTATTATTGTTGTCAACATTGGGAGATATGACAGTTGGACTTCTTCTACGCTCCAGGGTGCTCTTCTAGTTCAGTTGTGTTTTTTTTTACCAGTGATCTCATCTTTTTGTGCTTTGGGCTTCGTTTTTTATGGTGATGATCGGTTAGGAAGATCTGGCTCTGAGTAAAAGAGCACCAGTTGACCACACGATGGTTTGGGTGTCGTGCCTCCGTGTGCATGAAGCTTACCATTCTGGGTGTGGACAGTGTGGTTGTGACTTAATAACTGACTGGACCTTTCCAGGGATTCATTTATACCATACCCTCTCAGACAGCCAGTATATAAGCAGGCCTGACCAGTCATAGTGAGACGGTGAAGAGCTGCAGTGAAATAAGTACACAAATCCTATATTTACGTGATCCATACATATCCTGTACTTTACCTCTGAGGTAAACACATTGGCCTAAAGGAGGGTTAATGAGTGCAGACAAGGATGAAGACCTACGTAGATGGGACCAGAAATATCCAGCAAGACACAGTTACTCAGATACAATTATGAGGGTGTATGTTTGTGTTAAATCCTCTTTCCCCTTGCAGGAGTGTTCTCCATACTCGGCCCACCTGTTCGATGCTGAAGATGCTAACACGCCCATGCGGATGCTGCCTGGCCTCTGCGGGGATTACTGCTCCAGCTACTGGATGCAGTGTCGCTACACGCTCAGCCTCCTTTTGGAGGACTCGGGGAACCCGCAGCAGTTTGCAAACCTGACTGCAACGATAGAAGAAGACCGCAAAAAGTTTTGTGACTATCTGGAGCTGAAGGACAAGCAGTACTGCTATCCTAATGTGTTGACAAATACAGGTATGGGGTAGAAACAGGTTCAGCAGCACACACACACTCACACTGATGAACACTCTTCTGATCTTACTGTGGGGTTGAGTGGAAAAGTGGAAGACATTTTGATTACCCCACTTAAATAAACAGCCAACATGAACAAACAGGTTGTCAGAGACTGAAGACATTGTTTCCACTGGCAGGAACCTGAACTTGCACTTACAGAACAGTCTTGTCATGAATTATGAACAGACATTGCTTCACCTTGTTATCCGGCTCATAAGGATGACAAAACAATGATTGTTTAGACATATTATACAGTATACAGCTGGTTTCCCCATATCCTATGACAACAATCCATTAGATGAAGATGAAGAAAGTTGTATTGTTTTGGTCTACAACTGGCAGTAGTAGGTTTTATATGCGCAGGTTCGATTTGGAATGCAAGATACCAGGTCAACTCTTTTCTATAAGACGCACTTATATTTGGTCCTAAAACCCTTTCCTGTTTTGTGTGCATCTCGTATTCCATTTACTGAATGTTTTTACTCCTTCCTTTCTTATTTACTTTTCTGTCCCTAGAGCTGAATGCTAACCTTGGCTTGGTCCGTGAAGATCCCACGGGATGTCTGGAGCTGTGTTTGCAAGAGGTTGCCAACGGGCTCCGTAACCCTGTGGCCATGATTCACGCAGAAGACGGGACTCATCGATTCTTCGTGGCGGAGCAGCTTGGTTATGTGTGGGTGTATCTGGCCAACGGCTCCAGGATCGACCGGCCTTTCCTTAACCTCACCCATGCCGTCCTCACATCACCGTGGGCAGGAGATGAGAGAGGATTCCTCTGCATAGCCCTACACCCAAGGTTCATACTTCTATTCAAGTTATCTGTGAGGGTTAGGGACATCAACAATGATGGTTTTCATGATTCTCAGTGAAAAAAGGTTGTGAAAAGTATGATCTCTTCTGCTTCCTTTTCTTTGCAAAGGTTTGATGAGGTCAAGAAAGCCTATGTGTACTACTCTGTGTCAGTAAAGAAGGAGGAGAGGATACGTGTCAGCGAATTCACTCTGCTAACAACCGATGACAACCAACTAGATCACTCATCTGAGAGGTAAGGAGAAAAGTCTACAGAAACACAAATGGAGACATATTAGTTATTTTAGAATAATGTTGTAATGGAATATTTGTAAGATCTGGTATTCTACACGTTTAGGACTATTCTTGAGGTGGTAGAGCCAGCATCCAATCACAATGGAGGGCAGCTTCTATTTGGCCGTGACGGGTACCTGTACATCTTCATCGGTGATGGTGGCCGAGCTGGAGACCCATTTGGAAAGTTTGGCAACTCACAGAACAAGTAAGTATACACAAACCAATATAGTAGCTAGAGTGGGTTGACTTTAGTTTTTTCTTAAACTGACGTCAAATTTCCTGAAGTAGCCAACAAAATATGTTTTCATGCTACAACAGCATACCTGAAAACTAGCTTCAAATCTGTGACGTGAGCCTTGGAAAACGTGATAGTAATGGTTTGGAAGATCAATCTTGCAAAATAAACATATCCTTTGATTGCTCTTAGAGGTTGTTAACATTTTATGTGAAATCATGTCAAATTTTGCGAGACACCGTGACATTGTTAAGATGTTGGCTGGATACCAATACCAAAGTCTGGTTAGAACCAGTTCTGCCAAAAAGGAGTTCCCGATAATTCAATTCCAATTAAGTCTAATGAAAAGGAGCAGATTTATGGAGAAAAAACACTTAAAAGCTTTGCAGACTCTCAAGTTGCTCTGTTGTAACTTTAAATTATATATTTTTGTAAGACTGGTTATCGACACTTATGAAAATACCTGTAATTTGAAAATCTTGATTGGCTTAAATGCTACAAATTAGTTTGATTGTGCACACACCAATTATCACAAAGATGCATGGCAGGCCCTGTAGAGCACTTCTTCAATTGGAGCTGCAATAACAAACTTATTGTTCATTAGGGGGATTATTGAGAACTCCATTATGTATATTTTTTAAATAGAAGTGCTCTACACTTTCGGGAGGATTAACAAGGCTGAAAGTTAGCACGCCACCGAAGATTATTGAAGAATTTGCATAAATGAACTGTCCGAAGATCAAGAGTGAAATATATTTCCATTATTGGACTGCATATGTGAAGTAATTGTGGAAAGAATGTAGAGCATTAATTAAGAAAGTACAGTATGTCCATTGTTCTCTTCAGGATTAAGCAATGACAGTAAAGACATTTATTAACCCTTAGATGCATAAGTGGGTCTTTTTGGACCCGGTGAGGTGTTTTCTTGAAGTATCTTTGTAATTACAGTTTTGTGTCATTTCATATTCCAGCTATTCCTTAAAAAACACGTTTTGGATATCATGCCATTCACATTTTAAATGCACATTTTAAGAAATTGTAGTTTTTGTATTACTACCCCAAGCTTCCTTAAGTGGGACAAAAATGACCCGCTTGCATTTTCTATGGAATCCTATGGGAACCTTTGATTCTTCTCACCTGTTGCTGTCAGGAATACATTCACTGTAGACCACACAGACTACATCACAAGTGACACCTCTCTGGAAGATTATTGTACACAGCAAGATTAATACCTGTCAGTATAATAATAATAATATTAATAATAATACTACATTATATTTGTATAGGGCTTTTCAAGGACTCAAAATCGCTTTACAATATGTAAAAAAATGTAATGTACATTTTTTTTCTAAAATTATAAATTGTGAAAAATTAAATATAACATATTTCTAAAGTGAACCAAAATATAATACTAAATATTATACAAGTGATTTTTCTTAACCAAAATGACAAAAATGGCATAAAAACGCATATTATTCTAATACGGGTCCTTTTAGACCCACTTATGAAGAGTGTAGGGTCCAGTCACTCGTGCATCTAAGGGTTAAAGAATAAGCCACAAGCATCTGGTGGCAGTCCACAGACGTCAATGGGAGATGTGGCAAGATGTGTTGATGGCAATGGTGCATGTTAGCTTTATAAATGAGCTTTTGTTGAAGGGACTGCAGGGAATAATGTGTCTTTAGCTATGTTGGTAAACATTACTCTCCTCTCATCAACATGACCTTTGCAGTGTAATTAATTTGATTAATTTCATAGAAAGGCTAGCTGTATCTAAAGGCATTGTTTATTTGTGTGTTTATGTTTATGTATGTGCACATAAGTTTGTGGATGATATTATGTGTGAGTTTTTTTCACTGTTATGAAAGATTAGCCTTGATTGCTACAAGCTACAACTGTCATTCTTCATTATCATTTGATCAACTTTCAGTGGCTTAAATGTTAATTACAGCTAATGGACAACAAAGTTGGAAGGACAGATATTACTGCACAATACTCCAATTACTTAATGCATCATAGTTACACTACATCTACAAGTACTTGGACTATAATAAATTATTAAACAACATTAATGCATTCATGTTAAAAAATACCTTTGTTTTGCTCATAGAGAGGCTAAACTGAATTTAAACCAAGACTAAGAATACAACAGATTAGATCTAAAGCTGGGACATCTTCTGACTTATTTGATCAGTATTGGGTTAATGACACTTTAGGAACCATTTCACAAGGTTTATCTGAGATGCTGACCACTTTTCTCCAGACAGTTATAGCGTAGCTGTTTCTTAGGGGTTTTGTTGACAGGCTCCATTAGCCTTCTGGGAATGAGGGAGCATACAGAGCGCCAAGTCTAATATTGACACTACACGTTACTGTGACCGCCACACATTGGTATGTGGAGAGAGAGAGAGAGAGAGAGAGAGAGAGAGAGGAAAAAGGTGTACAAAAAAAGAGGTGAGAAATAGAAAGAAGGAAAAAAGACGGAGGAGGGATAGTTAGTATAGGAAGTGGAATAGGTTAAAATAAGAGATTTAGCAGATGATTGGACAGAGAGAAATGTGAAGCATTGTAACCAAACACAGTTGGCCTTTACCAGGAAAATAAATGCAATTTTGATATTTCATTGCAGAAAAAAATTGGTTTTTCACAACAAGTAGAAAAGAAAATGAAACAGTGTTAGGTCAAAGATGAAACAAACATTACACAAAACGAACAAAAATTACAGGTAAGGATATATTTGTATCTGCCTTTATTAAAGCACTCACTCATTCCGTCACCTCAGCCTTTCTGAATCCTTTTCATTCTCTCATCTACTTTCTGTTTTGAAAAGATCAACACTCCTCGGGAAGGTGCTGCGTCTTGATGTGGACAACAATGACGATGGCACCCCGTACAGCATCCCCTCTGACAACCCTTTCTTGCACGAGAAAGAAGCTCGACCCGGTAAATCAGCTTACATTTTCTACACATGTTGGATAATGTTATGATATCTCTTCACAGTTAGGATGAATTGAATATTTAAGATTATGGCACAATTCCAAATATTAACTTAGACTATGAAATGTGTGTCTACAGTGGGGCTTCTCTAACTGAGAAATAAAGAAGAATGAACACTGAGAATAAAAATACGCCTTTGGTTTCTGTACTCAGCCTCACAAAGGATGCATGGTATTTGTGTTTACATATAATGTGTTTTCTTCCCGTTCAGAGATTTATGCCTATGGAGTTCGCAACATGTGGCGTTGCTCCATCGACCGAGGTGACCCCACCACAGGCCGAGGCGGAGGCAGGATGTTTTGTGGTGACGTAGGCCAAAACAAATTTGAGGAGGTGGACCTTATTGTAAAAGGTATGATGACTTTAGTTCAAAACACCATCTCTCTTTAAAGAGAGAAATATTTCAATACCTCTAAATTCACGAGCACACTGACAGCGTCTTTATCATATCTCCAAAATAAATGGTTCAATCTTACACTAGATGGCTGTCATTATCTACTCATCCTCATGTCATATAAATCTGTTATCTAAAGACCACACAGACATTGAGTCAGACATTATAGTTTAATGTCAGCCTTCTACCTTACAATTACAGTGAAAGTGATCTGCTTATGTAGAAACCCAAAAGAGCTATGAAATAGTCATCTAATTACAGCCAAACAATACTCTTCTCAGTTAGAAACTTTCTACAGTATATTTACTGCACCGTGAGGCAATTCCATTTTGAAATAATGGTACGGTAGCTGTCTGCCTGCGATGTTGCACTAACTTTGTATGTACATGTTTGAAGGAGGGAACTACGGATGGAGGGCCAAAGAAGGCTTCAGCTGCTACGATCGCAAACTCTGTCTAAACTCCTCGCTAGGTGAGGACGCTCTCCTGGCTGCTGCCATGCACTTTTTACAATCTATAATGATGAGGATGATACGTTTCACAATATATATACTGTTAAAGGCTGTGAAAGCTTCTTAACTTTAGGTACATTTAAAAAACACTTACAATTCTTCATGCTTAGTGTGTAGTGGTATTGTCTTCTTGTTATGCTGACAAAGGAAGTTAATGTTTTTATTTTATGTCGATGTCTAGATGACATCCTGCCTATCTTTGCATACCCCCACAAGCTGGGCAAATCAGTGACGGGAGGTTACATCTACAGAGGCTGTCAGATGCCCAACCTCAACGGACTCTACATCTTTGGGGATTTCATGAGTGGGTTAGTGTTTCTGCGTTATTCCATAATATAAACTTCACACATCTTCTTTAGACACATTCTCGCCCTCACTGCAGATACCCAGTGTCCAATTTGTCATAGTGGCCATTACAACATCATCATAATACACAGCCTATTAAAACAGACACATATTTCTTTGTACTGGAAATTGTGGATATTAAGCAAAAACCTTTCAACACGACACTTCAACATCAACCACTACAGTTCAATCAGGAGAGACGTAATGTATGGAATACGTGTTTATTATCGGTCACATTCTATAAATGAAACATAATGATGACAGTTTATAACAAGGGAATGAAATGGTGTTTGGCGATTAGGCCCAGGTTTTGTAGGATATCATTCGGGAAGGGAATGAACCGTTTCCGATTAACCCCCCTGGGTCTAGACACTGGTGATGGTGATAAGTGGTTAGGTCCGGTTGGAAGGGAGGAGGTTAAGCTTGGTCCTGAGTTGGAAGCAGGAGGTGAAGGGGTGGAGGAGGGTTGCGCGTTGGCACCTGGAAGACAGCTGATAGAAAAGGGGAGAGCATATATAGAGGGATTAACAGGTGCGATAATTAGGCTTGTGAACGGAGGGAAGTGATAGGTTGGCGAAGGAGTGGCGCTCCCTGTCATCTAGTGAAGGGAGCGAGTATTGCCATGACGTGCAATACGGAGTGATAGGTCTTCCTGTCTGAACTTGCGCTGAGCTTCATTAAGCATGAAATGCTTGATTTTAAATGTTGAATTGATGTACTGTTTGTTTCTGTTCAGGCGTCTGATGTCTCTGAAGGAGAATGTCGCTTCAGGTGAATGGCAGTACAGAGAGATCTGCATGGGAGGAGACCAGACCTGCAGATTCCCAAAACTCATCAACAGTTATTATAAATACATCATCTCTTTTGCTGAGGATGAAGCAGGTACGTTTAAAAGTTAAAGCAATGTTGAATAACTTGACTGAGCCCCATTTCTTCCCTTTCAATAACTTGTGTTTGCTATTTTCCGTTTGGATTGTCTTTTACTCTCCACCTGTCTCTCTCTCTCTCTCTCTCTTTTCTCTGTCCATCTTTCTAGGTGAACTGTATTTCTTGGCCACTGGAGTGGCGAGTGCCAAGGCCAGAGCAGGAGTCGTCTATAAGATAGTGGATCCTTCCAGGTAGCTAAACATTACAAACAATAGTAGAGCAACAAATACACTTTCATCATACCTGCAGGGGTTTGTGGGGAAGAGGTTTTTAGAGTAGCTGATCTTAGAATAACCTACATTTAAAAAGTTCAAAAGTACTTGTATAGGTTGCATGAGTGACGTTTTGTTCCCCTCTCGTGTCTACATAGGCGAGCAGCACCAGGAAAATGCAGCTTCAAACCTGCTCCTGTTAAGATAAAAGGAAAACTGGTTCACTTCTACCCCAAAGAAGGTAAGGAATGCTTTAAAAAATGAGACAACATTTCCTGGTAACCTTCTGTTGCACATTTAGTTTCTCAATGTGTTTTACATCCAACAAAATGATATTGTTTATTATTATCATTATGTTGTCAATGTGCAACATGTAGAAGTTATGTTTCATAGTCTGAAGCATTTTTTATTACGCTGATCAAATGTATTTTTTGTTTGCAGAGTTCGTAATCAACAAGAAACCAACAACCACACCAATACCAACAACATCCACAAGAAAAGCTACAACAACAACAAAAACACCCCCAAGAAGAAAAACACCAATTATTATTATCAAACCACCAATGCCAACAAGAAAAACAATAAGAAAACAACATTACAGACAACAAGAAAAACACCCCCAACAACAGCACTAAAAACAACATCAAAAACAACAATCAAACCAACAACCGTACCAACAACTGTCCAGAAGGCCATGGAAACAACCCCCGCCCCAACCACACCCACCGGTAGGCCCACTGGTGAACCTGTTCACCTTACCAGCTCCACTGATAACCCAACTACTAGCTCCAATGTTCACACAACCACTAAGGCAACTGGTAAAACTAACCGTAAACCCACCAGTAGACCAGTGCAGGGAGAAGCCACCAGAGTGAAACCAGCTGCTTTCTTCTTCTGTGCTCTACTGTTGCTTTACATTTAACACGCTAATAGCCAAATGACTAAACTCTGTGCAACTGATTTTCATTCAATGATTAATGCTGAGGGATCTTAGTTGCTAAGTGAGATACAGGCAGTATAGTGACTTAACTTTATAAATAAGTTAAATTAAATAAATACATACAAAATAACATGAATAGTTTGGCAGCTAAGTTCAAGTAAGTTTACTTTGAAAATTGATCAGAACCTTTTTTAGGTAGTTTTTGGTCGGTATATAAAAGGTAAAACAAGCAGCTAATACAATATTTTAAAGATGTCTTCTTACATGGTGAAAATAGAAGAGATAAAACAGGTACCAAATAGTGAGGAGAGAAATCGACTACAGTAAAACAGTGAGTGGGCCCTCTTGATACATGCAACAGCAATCTATTTATATTAAATTATTCTATGTTTTTTGTGGAAAATTAATTCAAACATTGTTTATTATATTTGAAAAACTAGATTTTCTGTTTTGCTTATTCTTATATTAACCACTTCTGAGACGCCATAAAAGAATATGCAACATAGGTAGGTAATTATTTAATGCAATTGTGTTCTTTTACATATGGTTATTATCAGTCTTTGCAATTTGCACTGGAAAAGCTGAAAAAAATACGATGCATAAAATGCAAAAAACAAAACAATGCATAAAAGGTTATTATTATAAATCATTGAATGGAAATATTCTGAAACTTGATATAAAATACACCAGTGTTACAGCTTTTAATGATGTTCTGCTAACTGCTAACCGATCATATTTAGGAGGTTTGCCTTTGCTGACGCACAGCGTAGGGACTCAGGTACAGGGCTTTTAGAAAAAGTAGAAACTTGATTTCCTGCTAGCATACGTTTCTTTGGCTGGTACAAGAAACTTGAGCAGAATGGTGCTTATTTTTGTGTTGGGTATTTGGAATACTTTAATTTAAATCAAGTACTTTGGCATTATTTATTTTTAATAAATGGTTCTGCATCAGCTTCAGTTTGGACATTCATCTTTGTGTGTCTGTGTTTATGTCTTTCCTTTGGATAGCATTGCTTTAAATGGCTTGGAGAAATCTGAGATTTGTAACATTCTCAGTTCTAAAACTACCTTCTTGGTGTATTACTAAAAGATATGTTGCAATGTTTCAAAAATAAGCTTATATCATTTTTGGAAACAGTGGGATACAGCTAGGTCTGGCCAAAGTTAACACAATCTAAAGCTCACTAATACATTTGTTATACTGCCTACTCACAGAAACAAAAGTTTGAATATAAATATTTAAAGTTTCACAGGGATTCTTGGTTGGATACATTGACTTCTTTGACACTTTTACCCTTTTGGTCTGGTGGTATGCATATTCTGTTATCTTTGGACGGATCCAGACTAGCTTTCCCCTTTCTGCTAAATTAAGCTTACTGGAATTAACTTAATCATTACCAACATAATGGTATTAATCTTCTCCCCCACTCTTGGCAAGAAAGAAAATAAGCACATTTCCCAAAATGTCAAACAAAGCACAGTGTTAAACTACATATATTCAAATAAAGAGGGTGATTCTGTCTCTCCATCAGGTTATCGCACAACCATCATGACTGCGGCCTTCACTAGGAGTGCTCAAACACCAATCATCCCCACATCTCCAACCAGGAAACACGGGAGACCCCTTCAATACGCTCCTATTACCACCTCCAAACCTTTAACATCAGCACAACCTCCCCCTTCCCCATCCACAACATCCATGAAACGCCCCAAGGTGGCTTTGACCTCTGAGCGCCCGGCAGAGTTGACCACACCACAGCCGCAGTATTGGAGTCTGAAACCCACGACATCAGGATACAAGCCCCAGAGACCGCCGATCAACACAACACCGACCAAAACACAAGAAGAGGGGCTGCGGCTCGGAGAGAAGCTGGAAAACACCGGAGGGGCTAACCAAGTATACAAGAGGACCCGAGGAAGAAGTCGAGGTTCGAAGAGAGGAAGAGGAGGGAGAGGAGGAAGAAAGCTGCGTGCCGGCTCGGTGCGACTGGTGACCACTGATGGATTATCAGATCGAGGCAGACTGGAGATCTTTATCCGTGGGGAGTGGGGGACGGTATGCGATGACCTTTTCACCAGCAAAGCAGGTTCTGTGGTGTGTCGACAGCTCGGCTTCACCACGGCGTTTGCGGTGATGAAGAGGGCTGCCTTGGGGGAAGCGGACCGTAACGTCAGGATCCTGTTGGACGACGTGGAGTGTGAGGGCGGGGAGAGGTCGCTGCTGGAGTGCAAGAGATCCAGGGTGGGGAAACACAACTGCTCACATGGGGAAGATGTAGGGGTGATCTGCGGTTAGCATGGAGGAGAGGAAAGTAGAACAAAGTATAGGAAGGAAAGGAAACAAGGAGGCAGGGGAGGGATGTGTGTTATGTATTGCATACAAGAAGTAACAGGATGAGTATTAGAGTATTAGAAGAGAGTATAAAAGATGACTGCAGACTGCTTTATTTTCAAGCATGAATGTTGGTGAGGTTGGACAGGTTGCTTAAATGTCTATGAATTGTATTTTTTTATACAAATTCATGTTTCATATGTCAGAAGACATATGTATGTTTTTTATGAGAAGTATTATTTTTTTTTAAAAGGTCAATAAGGAATGAGTGAGTGTCGGAGTAACTTGAATCCTACTTTTGAAGTGTTTTCTGTTTACATACTTACATGTGGCAGACACCAGATCCTGTTAAACAGTCAGGTGTGTCCTAAGAGAATATATTTGTATTTTTGTATCATCTCAAGCAGGTCTTTTCTTTTTCTCAAACAGCTTCTTATATTTGCATTTTGATACCTTTTTTTAATGTAGTATTAAGATGAACACATCTCAAGAGTTTTAACAAGGAAATGCTGGACATTCTGAATGATGAATGTAATAAAAGGTTTCCTATTTTATATAAAGACTGTGATATGAATAAAGATGTACTGCAAAATGACAGCCTTGCTCTTCTCTATTATTCTCTGCCAATAGTGATCTGAGGAATGAAGGCTTACATTGATCAACACCGACTTCTCTACAGCTGCGAGAACAGACTCATATTAATCATGAAACTATTTTTCCCACTGTATGGCTCTGCTTGTGTTTGGTTTCTGAGAGTTTCAATAACACTCCACTAATACACGACTGATTTTCAGAAATCTGTGGGATTAAAGCAAGATTTTTACCATGGGAAAGAAAACGTGTTTTAGGGGAAGGGAAAGTCCAACTGGCTTGCCTTTTTAAGTTCAATGTTGTCAAGGGAAAGAAGGAAAGAAAATAGACTACAAAAATATTCAAGTGCCGACAAATATACTCTAGATAGAATTATCACTGCTCAGTAAAGTGAACATGTTCTCCCCCTTCATTTCAGTTAAGTAATTTCAGAGGCAAAACTGTAATTAATAAACAAAAAACATATTTATGATAAGGAAAATAATCAGTTTACATACAAATGTCAGAATAACATTTGCCAAATGAGAAAAATAAATGATTGAACTCCAGATTGGGCACATCATAAAATCTGGTTTCCCAACTCTTTGTATCTACATTATATGAAGACTGCATTGACTACATTGTAACACTGCCACACGCATCTTTTAAGAGTTGTTGTTTTCTTATAACCATTGAATAGAATCAATGTAAATATAAAATGTGCCAGTTTTGCACATACGGTACATCTTAAAACAACAAGAATAACAAGCAGTAAATGCAGACTAGCTGTCTGGCAAATAAATGTGTCTGCTTGCACACTGTAATGTTTTACAGATCCTGACTCACCACTAAACCATAAGGTGCAAGGCATTGCTCAGTCACAGCGGTTTGCATGAATGATTACAGTAAAGGTAACATGTGTGTGAACCTCATGTGTGTGTCTGTCTGCGAAGAATATGTTTCTATCCCTGTTCTTTTTATGAATCCATGCATACTTTGATGGCATTCAGAGTGTGTGATGTCAGACAGCATGTATGCCAAAAGACAAACCTGACCTTGCCAAGGGAAAAGTGTTTTTTATTTCAAGACCTCTGTACTATTTTAGAGCTAAAGAGTCTCCAGGCAGTCAGGCAGGTAAGCATTGGAGTTCATGAACATGGGCAGAAAATATCCATCTACTTTGGCTCTCAGTATTTTAGTGAGTTATACAAATATAAGGCCTTTCAGATAGAACCGTTTAAGCCTATATAACAAACATGAAACTTTGCCTAAAATTAATTTTGTATTAAAGAATAAAATGATCCTTACTAACACAATTTTTCAACAGCACACTGTGAACAAATGGTCTGATATTTGTTTTGCTTCTGCTTCTAGACCACAGGGAGGCAGTCATGTATCAAGTATTATCACTAGTGGAAGATGTTATGAGAGCAGTTCATACGAGCCTTCACATGAATGGCGACAGGGGAGATTTTTTTTATTTATCAGTGGGTACAATTATGATGAAAATCTAAAATATTTAACACGAAAAAAACTGTAGACTTCTGCATCACAACATTGTCATGGGAAAACATTACTATAATTAATGCAAACCATAATGCCAGACACCACCGACTGTCCTACATTGCAACACTTTTTTAATCCCCGTAATAAACAACATAACAGTGTTAATCTTTGATGGTGCCTTGTGAAAGTAATTAGTAAGAAGAAGGCTGGTTATAATGTCAATAGATTATAAAGTGAATTGTTCTGTGGATCGAGAGAAGGTTTCATTTAACATAAAAAGAAGGAAACAATTTAAATGTTGTCACATCACGATTTAATCATGAGTTCTTAAGTGTGGTAAAGACCCTTTTCTTGAAGCTACAGACCAGGCTGATTAAAGCGTCTTTGGAACAAACGAGTAACATTAAGACAAACCAAACCAATTGATTGGCAACAGAGGAATATGTTTTAATCAGTTTGAAAATGTTAATAATTACCAATTAAATTCTGTCATCTCATTCTGGCCTCACTCCTTTCCATTTCAACAAATGCTTCACTATATAACTGATACAAGAGAGAGTGTCAGAAACATGCAGCAAACTCCAGGCACTGAAGCCAAGGTGGTATTACATTGCTGACGATCCCCAATGGCCACTCAAAGCTGGCTTAAAAAACGAGTCAATCTACATAAATCCATGTAAATGAGTCCAATTTTACAGCAGAAATAAACATTTACAGCCTGATAAAAAAACAAAACAGTTTTGGTCTATATTGCAAATGTGCCTGTTCATGACAACTGTGTGGGCAGAGAATTTATATAACATGTTAAAATGATATCTAGGCTTAACGTTTTTGAATCGTTGAGGGCTGCTATGAGTAATAGGTAGGTGGGTACTTACTTAGCTTATTGTAGTAAAAGTTGGATGGTAATTATTTCTGGTAAGAACATTGAAAACAAGAAAAAAAAACTGGATGGACAAAACAACCATGGCAACTAATATCCCAGTTAAGAGAATTTAAGGATGGATCTTGAGTCATATTGGTTCGGCATCAGCATACTTCCGACTGTAGGTTATGTTGTGTATTTCGCCTTATTATGTTGAAAATGGGTTCTTTTACTCCATAAATATTCTTTTTTTTTCTTTTTTTATGATAGAAGAATATAACATTTAAAAGAATAAAATAAAAGTGAATCCCTGAGTCTACAAACATATGTATTCTAAAGTCATCTGAAGGTGAGAAGAGTTTCTTTTTTTTGTACTTTTAATTTTCAATACACTGGTATAGCGGATGATCTTATATACAAATGAAGACTCTTAGAAAGATAAGACCGAAGAATAGAGGGAATATCCTAGTTAGTCATTCAGGCATAGTGAATAATTAACAGGCGGGATTAGAAAACGCATAGTGGAATCAGCAGTCAAGCAGAATCTGTGCTATGGATGAGGATGTATTCCTCTGTCGCATTAAGAGCAGCCTTTAAAAATGAAAAGTACAGCCATGTTGACTTGATGTGACGTATTTGGCACACAAATGCATTTGGCATTCAGCCCCTAAATGAATTAACATTGCAACAGTGATCAGAGAGACAGAGGTTTTACTGTATAGGGATGTGAGAGGGAGATCGAGTGGGCAGTATATTCATCTGTGAATACTCTTCTTGACAGTCAACTTACATAGAATGAACAATGAGCTACTGAAATGTGTTACCAATGCTGATGCCTCTATAATCTTTCTCTGCACACTGGGTGCTTTTGTATTTAAAACAATAATACTGTTGCTTAATCAGGCAACAATTTTAGAGGCAAAGCAAACTCCAACCAGTGAGCATGTTTGAATGATTGGAGAAAACATTGCGATGATGTGTCCCACTTCCTGTTTACTTCTTTACTGCCAACTGTGTCACAGTCAAATGGTCAGCAATGCATAGCATCAAATGCCACTAACAAAACTGAATAATAGTTCAAACTGTTCACTCCAAACATAAGAACGTGATGTGCCTATTCAGCTGTATCACATTGTGACTCATGAGCAAGACAACTTAAAGTGGACCTATCATGCTATATTTGAATACTATATTGTTGGGCCAAACCTATATAAAACATGTCTGTGAAGTTTGTTTTTCAAAATACCAACCAGATCATGCATTTTAGCCATGCCTCATTTCGCTCTATTTGCTGTATTCCAGCCCTGTTTTTGCAAGGGCCCATTCTGTGGCAAATGAGCTGCAGCTGACCACGCCCCCCTGCAAAGGAGGGGGGCGAGGCACGAGCGTCATGTTACCATGCTGTTACCATGCTGTTACCATGCCACGGCAACCTCTCATTCCCCTGAGAGGTGGAGAGTTGCCCATATAGGCGGAGCTTGTTTCTGACGTCAGAGATATTTCAAATCTGGATCAGTCTGTATCAGATCCGTTGCAGCCCCGTTTTTAGAGATTTGGGTATGGAGGAAAAGAGAGAGGGTTGTGTTTTCTGACACTTGCTGAGTTCCCTGACACACCGGGGACACATATTCATGTATAAAAGATGTACAAAAGTGCATTTTGCATGATAGGTCCCCTTTAAATAAATGTATTCATTTCGATTTGAAAGGTCACATGGCATTTAACCACGGGTTAGTATTCAGAATGGTTAGTCCTGTATTTGTTTTATTTAAAGCAGCTGAGTTATGACTTAAGAAATACAACGGTGATAGATGTATGTTTTATGTGCGATTAAACATTCACACAATTAAATTATATTCTTTCACATGCCAGATGTTAACTTCCATACATTGTACTGAACAACTGTGAAGTCTGATATAGTGGCAGTGTACGCATTTAACCTCTTCATATTTTCTACATTTACGCACAGATTTAGATATTGTATGAGTGGCAAGTTATATCTGCACCTCTAGATCATCAACAA